TAAATGTTATTTGGCATTTGCGTTGAGCATAAATATGATTTGATCATGTTTATTGCAATATGGTTATTCATTTAAAATCATAGAATAATTGTTGTTCTATTTAAATGAATAAAACCTTCAATGGTCATACACCCAACGAAAATAGTTTGTTGGCTCTCGATCGTAGTGATGCACATATTCATAATATTGATGCCAAAAGATGCAAAGTTAATAGTAATAGTGCAACTTATTTGTGGCACTGCCATTTTTGGTCATATCGGTGTAAAGCGCATGAAGAAACTCCATAAAGATGGATTTTCGGAATCACTTGGCTATGAATCATTTGATGCTTGCGAACCGTGCCTTTTGTGCAAGATGACTAAAACTCCATTCTCCGGAACAATGGAACAAGCTACTGACTTATTGGAAATAATACATACCGATGTATGCGATCCAATGAGTGTTGATGCTCGTGGCAAGTATCGTTATTTTCTGACCTTCACAAGATGATTTGAGCAGATATGGGCATATCTACTTGATGAAACATAAGTCTGAAATAGTTGAAAGGTTCAAAGAATTTTAGAGTGAAGTGGAAAAATCATCGTAACAAGAAAATAAAGTTTCTGCGATCTGATCGCGGAGACGAATATTTGAGTTACGAGTTTGGTCTTCAATTAAAACAATGTGGAATAGTTTCACAGCTCACACCACCTGGAACACCACAACGTTATGGTGTGTCCAAACATCGTAACCGCACTTTATTAGATATAGTGTGATCTATGATGTCTCTTACTGATTTACCACTATTTTTTTTGGGTTATGCATTAGAGACAGCTGCATTCACGTTAAAAGGGCACCATCTAAATCCGTTGAGACGACACCATATGAACTGTGGTTTAGCAAGAAACCCAAGTTGTCGTTTCTTAAAGTTTGGGGCTGTGATGCTTATGTGAAAAGGTTTCATCCTGATAAGCTCGAACCCAAATCGGAGAAGTGCGTCTTCATAGAATACCCAAAGGAAATTATTGGGTACACCTTCTATCACAGATCCGAAGGCAAGATATTCGTTGCTAAAAATGGATCCTTTCTAGAGAAGGAGTTTCTCTCGAAAGAAGTGAGTGGGAGAAAAGTAGAACTTGATGAGGTAACTGTACCTTCTCCCGAATTGGAAAATTGTTCATCACTGAAATCAGTTCCAGTGATTTCTACACCAATTAGTGAGGAAGCTAATGATGATGATCATGAATCTTCAGATCAAGTTACTACAGAACCTCGTAGGTCTTCTAGAGTACGGTCCGCACCAGAGTGGTACGGTAATCCTGTTCTGGAAGTCATGTTACTAGACCATGATGAACCTACGAACTATGAGGAAGCGATGATAAGCCCAGATTCCGCAAAAAATGGCTTAAGGCCATGAAATCTGAGATGGCATCCATGTATGAGAACAAATTGTGGACTTTGGTGGAGTTGCCCGATTATCGGCAAGCCATATTGTATAAATGGATCTTCAAGAGGAAGACGGACGTTGATAGTAGTGTTACTATCTACAAAACTTGACTTGTCGCAAAAAGGTTTTTGACAAGTTCAAGGTGTTGACTACAATGAGATTTTCTCAACTGTAGCGATGCTTAAGTCTGTCCGAATCATATTAGCAATTGCCACAATTTATGAAATCTGGCAAATGGATGTCAAAACTGCATTCCTTATTGGTTTTCTCAAAGAAGAGTTGTATATGATGCAACCAGAAGGTTTTGTCAATCCTAAAGGTACTAACAAAATGTGCATACTCCAGCGATCCATCTATGGACTGGTGCAAGCATCTCGGAGTTGGAATATATGCTTTGATGAGTTGATCAAAGCATATAGTTTTGTACAGACTTACGGTGAAGCCTGTATTTACAAGAAAGTGAGTGGGAGCACTACAGCATTTCTGATAAGTATATGTGAATGACATATTGTTGATCGGAAATAATGTAGAATTATTCTACAAAGCATAAAGGAGTGTTTGAAAGGAGTTCTTTAAAATAAAGACCTCAGTAAACCTACTTACATATTGAGCATCAAGATCTATTGAGATAGATCAAGACGCTTGATAAGATTTTCAATGAGTACATACCTTGACAAGATTTTGAAGTAGTTCAAAATGGAACAGTCAAAGAAGGAGTTCTTGCCTGTGTTGCAAGGTGTGAAGTTGAGTAAGACTCAAGACCCGACCATAGCAAAAAATAGAAAGAGAATGAAAAGTCATTCCCTATGCCTCAGTCATAGGTTCTATAAAGTATGCTATGCTGTGAACCAGACCTATTGTATACTCTGCCCTGGTTTGGCAAGGGAGTACAATAGTGATCTAGGAGTAGATCACTAGACATTGGTCAAAATTATCCTTAGTGGAATAAGGATATGTTTCTCAATTATGGAGGTGAAAAAGGTTCGTCGTAAAGGGTTACGTCGATACAAGTTTTGGCACTGATCCAGATGACTCTAAGTCTTAATCTGGACACATATTGAAAGTGGGAGCAATTAGCTAGAGTAGCTCCGTGCAGAGCATTGTAGACATAGAATATTTGCAAAATACATACAACTCTGAATGTGACAGACCCGTTGACTAAACTTCTCTCACGAGCAAAACATGATCACACCTTAGTACTCTTTGGGTGTTAATCACATAGCGATGTGAACTAGATTATTGACTCTAGTAAACCCTTTGGGTGTTGGTCACATGACGATGTGAACTATGGGTGTTAATCATATACATATATGATTATTGGTGTTAAATCACATGGCGATGTGAACTAGATTATTGACTCTAGTGCAAGTGGGAGACTGAAGGAAATATGCCCTAGAGGCAATAATTAAGTTATTATTTATTTCCTTATTTCATGATAAATGTTTATTATTCATGCTAGAATTGTATTAACCGGAAACATAATACATGTGTGAATACATAGACAAACATAGTGTCACTAGTATGCCTCTACTTGACTAGCTCGTGAATCAAAGATGGTTAAGTTTCCTAGCCATAGACATGAGTTGTCATTTGATTAATGGGATCACATCATTAGGAGAATGATGTGATTGACTTGACCCATTCCGTTAGCTTAGCACTTGATCGTTTAGTATGTTGCTATTGCTTTCTTCATGACTTATACATGTTCCTGTAACTATGAGATTATGCAACTCCCGTTTACCGGAGGAACACTTTGGGTGCTACCAAATGTCACAACGTAACTGTGTGATTATAAAGGAGTACTACAGGTGTCTCCAAAGGTACATGTTGGGTTGGCGTATTTCGAGATTAGGTTTTGTCACTCCGATTGTCGGAGAAGTATCTCTGGGCCCTCTCGGTAATGCACCTCACTATAAGCCTTGCAAGCAATGTAGCTAATGAGTTAGTTACGGAATGATGCATTACGTAACGAGTAAAGAGACTTGCTGGTAACGAGAGTGAACTAGGTATTAGATACCGACGATCGAACTCGGGCAAGTAACATACCGATGACAAAGCGAACAACGTATGTTGTTATGCGGTTTGACCGATAAAGATCTTCGTAGAATATGCAGGAGCCAATATGGGCATCCAGGTTCCGCTATTGGTTATTGACCGAGAATAGTTCTAGGTCATGTCTCCATAGTTCTCGAACCCGTTGGGTCCGCACGCTTAAGGTTTCGATGACAGTTTTATTATGAGTTTATGAGTTTTGATGTACCGAAGGAGTTCGGAGTCCCGGATGAGATCAGGAACATGACGAGGAGTCTCGAAATGGTCGAGACGTAAAGATCGATATATTGGACGACTATATTCGAAGTTCGAAAAGGTTCCGAGTGATTTGGGTATTTTCGGGGGTACCGGGGAGTTACGGGAATACGAGGAAGAAGAAATGGGCCTCATGGGCCAAGTGGTGGAAGAGAGGAGGCAGGGCGCGCGGCCCCCCTATCCCAAACCGAATTGGACTAGGGGGTCGGCCCCCCTTTCCTCCTTTTCCTCCCTCTCCTTCCTTCTCCTTCTCCTTCCCTTCCTTCCCCTCTCCTACTTGGACTAGGAAAGAGGGGGAATCCTACTTGGAGTAGGATTCTCCTCCTTGGGCGTGCCTCCTCCCCTTGGCCGGCCCCCTCCCCCTTGCACCTTTATATACGGGGGCAGGGGGCACCCCATGACACACAAGTTGATCTACGGATCGTTCCTTAGCCGTGTGCGGTGCCCCCCTCCATCATATTCCACCTCGGTCATATCGTCGCGGAGTTTAGGCGAAGCCCTGCGCCGGTAGAACATTATCATTGTCACCACGTAGTCGTGCTGACGGAACTCATCCCCGACGCTTTGCTGGATTGGAGCCCGGGGAACGTCATCGAGCTGAACGTGTGCTGAACACGGAGGTGCCGTACGTTCGGTGCTTGGATCGGTCGGATCGTGAAGACGTACGACTACATCAACCGTGTTGTCATAACGCTTCCGCTTACGGTCTACGAGGGTACGTGGACAATACTCTCCCCTCTCGTTGCTATGCCATCACCATGATCTTGCGTGTGCGTAAGAATTTTTTTGAAATTACTACGTTCCCCAACAATTAAGTGATAAAGATGAGAGTTTAGAGTTTCTTTAGCCATAGCTCCTAGATATATGTTGTGAGCCCCTGTAAGACTATAAGCCGGAGAAGTCACTTTGTTTATTTCTTGTGAACCACGATTGTAATGATCCAAGGATCAAAGAAGTCCATTTTTCAACACTAAAGACTGAACCATCAACTCTAAAACCGGTTATTGCACACCGCCAACTGTCGGTACCGTTCAGGACTCAACCATGGACTCAATGTGCCACTATACCATTGAAAGTTATGATCAACACAATGACACACATTAGAATTCATGGCAAATGGAAAATACATATGGTTCACACAGATGAATCGCTCTTATTGTGGATACTTAAAGCCAAAAACATAAACATAAATACATAAACATAAATTACTTTTGGTTGATCATCTCGTTTTATTGTGGATACTACAAGCCGAAAACATAAACATAAATCATTTCTGGTTGATCAGCGTCTTGAAGTTCATGGGCGCTGTGAATTGCACAGTGCCATTGAGAAATGTAGTTGCGGCCAACTTAGCGGCCTGCTCCGTTGGGTTCTCGACGTCCCAGTACCAATACTCTCTAGGGTTCCCACATGGTGACCTATAGTTAGGTGCACAGGGGCCTTCACAGCATGAGGCCCAGGTGTTCACAAATCCTGTGCATCCATCAACATGCCATAACAACATAAATATGGTTGCCGAATTCATGACTTTGTAGGAATATTTGACATTCTTAATGGATTTTACCGTATGCTGAAGGAGTTGTGCTAACTGCATCTGATAAGGCATGGAAGTCAGCGATGGAGTAGCGGAGCCCGTCGAGGTTGGAGGCGAGGCCAGCCATGAGCGGCTTGATGCCGTCGTTGAAGTCCTTGGGGAGGCTGGTCATGAGGTCGTCGCACATATAGCCCACCGGTGTGCACAAGGTGGGGACATTGATTATCCCGAACTTCCTCGCGCCCAAGTTGTACAAGGCCGTAATGATGTCCCCGTAGGAGGAGATGAGGTGTGGGACGTCGGTTGTGTTATCCGGCTCCGGTCGGGTCATGATGTTGTGGATGTAGTACAGGTCGCTGGCGCCGACGCTGATTAGGAATAGGGAATTGGACAACATCTTCCTCAACTGTTGCCGGCTATGGTTGGCCTCCATCTTCTCCATCGTCGCCGTGAAGTACTTTACTTGGTACGTCAATGGGAAGTTTAGTCCGTCGCCCTGCAAACATCATTTTGTGATTAATTGTAAGTGATGTCCAACAAGTACCTTATACCTAACTTGTTTGGTTAACCAATAATAAGCGAGGAGTGTAATCCACCAAACACTCTGGATTGCCATAATTAATGTGCGCAAAGCTTATGATGTTGTTGCAGTATGCTCCTTTTATGCCATACGACCTAATGTATGCATATAAATTTTTTTGTGCAACATATCATTGTAAGGCATATAATAGCCGAAGATATATAGACCATAAAAGCACATGCATTCCTGAAAATATGCACGTAAATTCAAATACATATACATGCATATGAAGGTGTCCACTTACACGATGAATCCAAATCCCAGCGGTCGCGGAAGCATAGTTGACTCCAGAGAAACCGGACTCAATTTTTGCGGGATTATTAAGAGACTTATAAGCAGGAGGGCTCATCTCAAATCCCATAGCCTTTGCTGCATATTAATAAAAAAAATACCCATCGATTTACCAAAGTTCTTTGGAAAAATTGGTTAACTTAGCTAGTATATTCATTCATTCTAAAAATATCAGTATTCTTCCTGATTTCATACTATAATGCCAATGAAACCAAAATAGAGAAAAGAGAAAGTAGCCAGGCTTATATGCATAAAAACGTAGAATCTGCAATTAGTAGGAGTGAATAGGGAGAAACATCGATAAATTCACATGCATATCCTGTCATATGAAATAAGATGAGAAAAGTTATACGCTCTGTAATTGTAAATGGAGATGGTATTCAGTGTTCAGTCCTTGCTAAAATGTAGTGCATATTAGATTTTTTTGTAAGTCCAACATTGTAAATTTTGTAAAAGAGTATGAATACTTTACAATACCAAATGTAAATGATACGAAAGTATATTTCATAATGAATCTAATAGTATTTTTTTCTGGTACTGTAGATGTTCATAAATTTTCCTATACATATAGTCAATATTTACAACGTTAGATTTCGGACAAAACTAATATACACTATTTCGACATAGAGGGAGTAGCCGTCAAACCATGGTATTTTTATCCCATATAATTGGTTTATTAAACTTCATATCTTAATTACACTCTTGGCAGCTAATAGGATATATGGTGCTATCTTTCAGTGTTGCTTTTCACAATGAAAACTATACATGAGAAAATAAGGATATATTAAATCCAAGACGGTTGATGAAAAATTGTTGAGAAAAGTTTCATATCAAGTAGCAGTGTTTAGAACAAGTAGACCCTAAAGCGGAAACTTGAGAGGTGCTGGTACCTACTGGCACCTGCCTAGCCAATAAGCAACTGACACATCGCATCGTATACTTACTCGTGTGTTCTATAAGGAAGTTTTCTCTTGTTTATAAAATATAGGTATTTATCTGGCCCACCATTGTACTTTACATGCAGGACAAAAGTAATGTGGCAGATCCACTCTCTCTTTTTCACACACTAAATCCGACTTTTCTTTCCTCTTGACTAATTTGAAACATTCAGATCTTTTAAACCATATATTGTTTTGAAACATTTTTACATATATTTGAACTACTTGCACAAAAATCATTAAATTTAGACCAATCCTTGTTATTTTTCTGCCACCTTTAAATCCGAACGTACATTTCACATTTTGAAATAATCGGTTTCACATTGATACATTACAATTTCACTTTATGTAGTTGTTACTTCACATTTCTGAACCTGCATTTCATTTTCCACTCGCTTATTTCATAAAATAACATCTATTTCAATCACATGTTGCTCAAATAACCTATTTAATTCTTTTGAAATAAATTATTTCACATTTCCAAGTAATCAGCTTCACAATGATAGATTACAATTTCACTTTCTCTGGTTACTATTTCATAATTCAGAACCAACATTTCACTTTCCACTGGCTTGTTTCACAAAAAATAAACATATATTTCAATTGCACATTTCTCAAATAACCTATTTCACTCTTTTGAAATAAATTGTTTCACATTGCCCAATAATCGGTTTCACAATGATATTATAATTTCACTTTCTGTGATTACAATTTCACAATTTAAAACATACATTTCACTTTTCACTGGCTTGTTGCACAAAAAAACATCTATTTCAATTGCACATTTCTCAAATAAACTATTTCACTATTTTTCACAATTCAGAAGATATATTTCACTTTCCACTGGCTTGTCACAAAAATCACTATTTCATTTTTTTTGAAATAACATATATCACTCTTTTGAAAATAAAATGTCACACATTTCAAATAATTAGTTTCACAAGTAGACATTTTAGCTTCATATTTTTTTTCCACATTCAGAACCTATGTGGAACAAACCTACTTCACTGGAAAAATGTGATTTATGTGAAACAAGACAATGAAAAGTGCAGTCGGAGAAACACTAGCAGTTCATGAAATGGTAGCGATAAAATTTGACCAAACGGATGCACACATACGGCAATATGTCTGGCAGGAGGGGCAGAGCGCGATGCAGCTCTGGGGGCATCTGTCGGGGCAGATGCCCGTGCACCCGGGCCGCTTCTTCTCAGTGTCCGTGCACGTGAACCTGCTGTTGCCGCCTTCCCCGTCCGCGGCGGCCAGCGGCGCCGGCGCTGGCGACTGCCCGGATACTGAGACCGCCAGCAGGCCCAGGAGTGCTGCCCCGAGTGCACACGCCGCGGCAGCTGGCCACCGCGCCATTGCTGCGAGCTTGTCGAAGGATGCTAATCAATTAAACAACTCAGCTGGCCGGTGTTGCTGGTTTCAGTTGATGTTACGACCTGCGCTGGGTGGTCTTCATTTATAGGCTGGTGGCCAGCAAGTTGGCAGACTAATGGCGCGTCGAAGAGTACGGGCAGACTTTTGGAGGTCAGCGATGTACGATAACTGGGTCTTGCTTATCCGAAAAGTACTGTGAGCATCAAGTTAAACCAGCTTGCAAACTTAGCCCATAGGCGTCGTGTGTAAAATTGGGTCAGCGATGGAAGGACCATGGATGCAGGTATAACTCAGACCATCTACATGAGGACTAGGCAAATCCGAGCCTCAAACACCCACGGACGAACCCGGATGCGTCCACGAGCAGTGACCGCCCAGTCCTTAAATTTGCTCTTCTGTATCTAGATATCATATACTAGAAATTTTAAATCCATATAAAAGCAAGCAAATGATAAAATCCACGTACTACATAGATCAACTACCCTAATCCTCGTTGGAGATGTCCACTATCTCGGTGCCCGGCTCCGGTTCATGGGCAGCAGCTGCAGCTCCGACTCCTCCGCGTCGGCCTCGGCATCCATCTCCGCTTTGACCTTGTCGAAGAGCGCGTCGGTCACCGCCGTTCCTGCCGGATGAACTGCCGGTTGGCCTCCACATAGGCCTCGTTCTGGATGGACTCCAGGATGGCCTGCTGCTCCGCCATCTCGACCGCTTTGGCGACCATGAACTCCGCCTCGGCATCCTCCATGTTGAAGCCCTCAACCGGTGCCAGCTGCTGCTCCGGCTGCTTTGCCTAGTCCTCCTCCGGATCCACCACCTCCATCGGGGTCAGCCACTGCTCCTGTCTCCCCTCCTCCTCCGCCTGCTCCTCCTTCTCCTCCTCTGGCTCCGGCAAGTCCAGAAGCAGCCCGACAGCGATGTGGACGGGGTGCGCGGCGCGCCTCGCCCGGATCTCCTGCTCGATCTGGTACCGGCGCTCCGGCATGAGCATGCGTGCGTGGTTATCTTTTGCTGGACCATGGCGAAGCCGAAGAGTGTGGGAAGAGCGGTAGAGCAGAAGAGAGGAGGTGGATGGGCTCGGGCTGGCGACACGGAGAGGGAGGAGTTGGATGGGCTAGGGTTTGGAGATGTCGGCCGGCTTAAATAGCCGCATTTGGCCTCAGTCGGCGAGCCGGAGCGGCGCCACACGGTGTTCACACCCTATCGGACGAGACGTCCGTCGAACCGCCAGATCTTCGAGTGATTCCGCATGGAACCTCATCGTCAGTCCAACGTGGCGGACGACCCAGTTAGTGATACGGTGACGCACGTAGAACAATCCAGTTTCTCCCTACGAAGCTATCTAAGCCAATATGTATTCCATTTGTTTAAAAGGCGCCTTGCGCCATGTTGACTCATGAAGAGAATGATATGATCAACAACAAAAGTGACGTCAGTTGGTGGAGAGCATTAATGCAACTAACGTGGAAGTTATTGTCAGAAATCATACACGTAAAGTCATCATCTTTTCAGTCTAGTCATAGTGGGAGTAACTTAGGCAGTAACATAGAGCACTTCGAGAAATTTTTGCTTATGTGGCAAATAGTTAATGAGAAGTGGTAACATAATATGTTACTGTAACATAGCACTTCACAAGACAAGATAAGTCTACAATCTATTAAATGAAACCACAGATGACACCACTATTATGTTACTTTGCGCTATAAAGGTAGTAATTTAGACTAATGTCATATGCATGATACTAGTATAAGTTTCTGCTCACTATGACGAGCCTTATGGGATTTTATTGTGTCATGCACCAATATTGATGGAGTGGAATTTCGTGTGTGTCTTATCAGTCTCAATATCAGTACCATCCTTCACAACTCCATTACTTTAGAATCTGATTGCTATTTTGTGGTTTCCTATCTTGCAATTGTCGACATGTCTCTCTTTGTTGATCATAAAGCTTCTAGACAATTTCAAAATTATTAAGATCAATTGTCAGGCTAATGTGTTGGCACACAAGATTGTGAAGTTTTTTTTTTTGCAAATAAAGAGTCTTTTTTTCGAAACAGATGCAAAAGCTTTGCCTCATCTCATTAATAACGAAGAAGTAGAGTTGTTCGGTTAATTTGCGGAAAACCGGACGAAAACCGTCACAACGACCTACACAGGGCCACAACGGCCAACCTGGCTACCCACACGAAGACACACACGCTGTCGAAAGAAGAAGCACTGTCAAGGTTGTCATCCAGCGTCATCGTCATCACTCTTTCTCAAGCCAGCGACTCTGACTTCACCTTCGCCGACCACCAATGAAGCCCTCGCCGCAACAGACGCTGGCACCCATGTCGGCCCATGCCAAACAGTCGACCACCTGCGCGAAGACCAGACACCTCCGACTTAGAGCCGTGAACCAAGTACGAGAAAAGCGCTAAGCTTGCGTCAACCAGGCCCCGGCAACCAAACACCAATCCCGTGGCATCGTTACCACAGTGGCTCTTCCTCCGCAGCTCCAACTCCACAAAGACACAGCGAGGCATGAGGACCCCTCGACACACCGGAAGACACCGACTACCAACACTCAGCTGCAGACCAGATCCGCTCGCAGCCGCCATCGTCACCAAACAGGAGACCACGCCCCACAGATCTAGGGCCGCCGCCCTAGCATCCCCGCAGCAAACAACAGTAGAACTCACGAGCCAAACTCCTAGATGATGCCTTCAGGAAAGGATTACGGCGCAGGAGCGTCGCCATCGCCAGCTCCAAGAAGACCTGGAATAAGGGTTTCCCCCGGAGCTCGAGACAGGAGGGCATAGGCTTACAGACCACGACGCCTCCAAGAAGGTTTGCAGTGCCCGCACGTGTCGCCGTCGTCGGCTCCGGCAAGGCTTTCGCCCCTAGAAGCCAGAATACCCACCCCTCGAAATGGCTGATGAGAACCACTGAGTGCCTAACCTCAACCCACTACACCACCACCAGAGCCAAGAGCAGCATGCAAGAGCAGCCCCGCCGCCGGCACAAACACCACGCGGAGCCAGCCAGCCGGGCAACACCAAACTCACCGCGGGAGCCAGATCCGACCACGTCGGGTCAGATCCGGCAACCCCACGCACCTGCAGCCGCAGCCACACCTATGATAGCACCGGGCGTCCCTGGCACAACCGGTGGCCACTGCCACCCGCACCACGGTGACGAGCTACGCCGCTGCAGAGCCTCCGCAGCAGTCAGATCTGGCCAAACGCCGAACCGACAACCCCGTGCACAAGCGGCTGACGCGCATCTCCTGCCCCCACCACGCATTGACGAATGATGCCAGGGAGCAAAGGGACGCCGCCCAACGCATAGGACCAAGCTAATGCTCCCGATCGAGCGCCGTCGCACCGCCAGACACCGCGCTCCTGGCTCTAGCCGCCTAGCTACGCACGCAGCGTCCGCGGCCAACATCCTTAACTCTGCATGTCATCACCGAAGGGAGATCTGGGGCGGCCGCCCCGCGGCCCATCCTCGCCGAGAGCGCCGCGACCTCCAGGGCAGCCACGCCACATCCGCGCGAGCAGGCCCGCCGCCACCGGCCGCTGCACGGGATTCGCCCGGCAGCGTCGCGCGATGGCGGCGAGGGGAAGCGGGGTGGAGACGGCGGCGTGAGTGTCTCGCCCGAGTCGCCCCCGCTGGAGAGCGACGTGAGCGACGGGGATAAGATTTTTGGAAAGACAGTAAATGAAGAGTTTTATTAATTAAGTATCGTCACTACGATCATCTTTTTTAGGTTGCTTACCACATTTTTTTTAAAGGAGGTTTTCCCCGGCCTCTTCATCCGAAAGATGCATGTGGCCATATTATTAAAGCAAGTGCAGCAAAAAATAAAGTCTGGTATCTGAAATATAGCTCGTAAAGGGAGCAAAGAGAAATAAAAGCTAAGAAAACAAACCATAGCCACAACTGGCTGGACTGTAGGACAGAGTGACTAAACACCTATCATATTATGCGACCGTCGTCCAAACCGATTGAAGATAGCCCGTGCTACCATCTTCCATCGGTTGCACCCAGTAAAAAAATGCTCCCTGGAGTCCATAAGAGTAAGTAACAACCACGTACTGATCTATGTCGTGGCTCTGAAAATAACCTGCAAGAAATTTAAAATATTTTGGCTGTTAAAAATCATATCGTTCCTGCAGTTCCATATAGCCCACAGAAGTGCGCATCCTACAAATTGCTTACCACATGGATCATGTGGTGTCACTACAATCATCTTGGCACACATTGCCAATCTCATCAGGTCCATGTCTCAGCCAAACAGACGTTCCAGTAGAAGATCTACCTTAGTTGAGCAAGGGAATGAGCAATCTAGTAGAAGATTGTGAAGTTTATTTTTGACAATAGGTCTGATGACGTTCTTTTTCTGTGTGGCATCATATGACCATTTTAAACTGATTAATATTTTCTCTGTGCAGGAAAAACGGTCACAACTCTTAACCAACTCATGAACAGTAGTACTAGTAAAGAGCTGCGAGGGTTTTTTCAGGACAGCGGGGTTATATGGGTTCTTTAATAAAATAATGACGCTTGGCCTGGCTTGTTTCTAAGTGACAAGATCTTAAGCTGGTATCCCAGCTTGTGCGACTTCTTCATAAACGCTAATGTCGGCATCTAATATCAATAGAAGCTACCTCGTCAGATCGTGTATGGGCAGTCACACGTAGAAGTCAAAAGTTGGCATCACGAGTCTTAAAGGCCAAGCATGAGAATTAGATCAGCACAAATCTCAATCTGCATCCTGAGCATCTACTCAAACGTTGTTTTCTAGACTAGTCAACTACTCATTCCGCACTAGTAGCCACATCTGGACCACCATGCCCCCTCCCCCGCGGCTCCAGGCGGCGCCCGCGCCCGCACCCGCATCCGTCCCGGCGCCGGCGGATGCTGCTCCCGGCCTGGTGCTGGGCTCCTGGTTCATGCCCCTGCCACCTCCTCCTGCTGGTGCTCCCCCCTGTTCCCCT